ACACACGCACACACACACACACCCACATAAACACACACTCTCACACTGACACACACACACGCACACACACACACACCCACATAAACACACACTCTCACACTGACACACACACACACGCACACACACTAAGGCTGTGCAATTAATCGCATGCGATTGTCATGCGCATCTCGTCAGTAAAGCCGGTTCCGTGATTGGTAGTAAATCTCCATCACCTGCTTTCAGATGGAGCAGCATTTAATACACAGAGCCATAGTTCACTGACAATTAGGCAATATCGCGGTCATAATCGCAGATGAATCGCATTCAATTATTAACGCGATATTGCCTAGCTTGTCAGTGAACTACGGCTCTGTGTATTAAATGCTGCTCTAACTAACACGCACACACACACACACACAAGCGCTGCTCCACACCCTCCCTCACACCTGTGTAGTGTTACGGCTGAGATAATTCACACACTTCTCTTCTGGAAACTAGGTCAATGAGGAAGTTCCTCAGGAGTTGGTGATAAGACACAAATTCATGCCGCTGAACCCCTGGGCTTTCGATACAGAAAGATTCAACACGTTTACTTTCGTTGATATACTATTATAGTTTTATTAATATTTTGAATTCATTTTTACTTTTATATTTTGTTTACGTTTTAATTTAATTGTTTAATTATTTGAATATTATTAATTTATTAATAATTAATTTTTATTTGTTTTAGTTATTTTAGTACTTAAAGTTAAACTTTAAGTAAGAAATTTTGCCTTTGCTAAAATAATATAAAATATGACCATTTTACTTAATTTTACTTATTTCAGTTTAATTTATTTTAAGTAACAATTAAAAAAAATTTTTTTTTTACCATAATAATCCTGGTGAGAAATCATTTTACTTGATTTTTTTTTTTTATGGAAATAGATTTTTAAGTGAGATTGCTTAGATTTAATTTGTTTTAAGTGATAGAATCTTGTAAGTGTTAGTAAGATTTTGTAAGCATTGGATGCATGATTCAACAAAATCACACAAGCACATGTTCAGTTTTACTGTAAAACTGTGATCGTTTCAGGCCTCAATTCGACTTATAATCTCCAAAGAAACTCTTGAGATGTGCATCAGACGAGCACTAAATCAACCTGCAGACTTAAACACTGCTGCAATTAAGAGATTGTCTTCTGAGAGTCTCACACTTTCCATCTTTTCTGTCTTTCTCTCTCCGTTAGAAAGACACGCACGTCCTCCAGCTCTGCAGGTGTTCCAGTCTTATATGCATTTATAAGCCGATCACTGGGTTCGTTTGGCCGCATTCAGTCACGACAGACTCTCTCTGATTGCCTGCTGTCAGGTTTAACGGCTGACCGCGAGTTCTGGAACGGGTTCTGGCCCGGTCTGATGGGCTTTAGCCTTCATCTGAGCCTGCTGGTGGGCTGAAATGCATTTGACTGCCGTTCAGAAACTGTCAAGAAGCCATTATTGATGCAGGAAATTCATGCAGCGAGATCTGGCTCACTTACAATGGCTTTACAGGACTTTTTGAGTAAAAAGCGTACACAGTTTCTCATTCCCTCCATGGCATTTGTGGGAATTTGAAGGAATATGCACATTCGTTTAGAC